TATTGTATATGATTGATTCGGGATGAAGGTACATCACCTCACACATTAGATCACCCTATATGAATATTAGATTAAAATGATCAGTTGAAAATGTAACATACCCCAGCCAATCCACGGGAGGAGGCACGCAGAATGTGGTTGGGGAGGTGATAAAAATGGGGGGGGGGGGACTGAACAGAATGTTCTCTTCTCTCCAGGAAGGGTTACAGCTTTCTTAAGGCAGCTGCCATTGGAGGCAGCTCTGCTAAGACAAGAAACTGTAGTCTTGGCCTCAGCAGTTGCTGGGCTGAAGTCCTGGGTGAAGATTGCCGGAGGAATACATTTTCTGTAGGACACTGGATTAAAGTTCTGGTCTGCAGAAGGATCTTGTTATCTCCTTCACTGAGGATCTAGCTTGCTAGGGACTAGTGGTTGTTCAAGTGCCAGAAGTGGTTATATAGACTCCCGCTGTAGGGTCCTGGACATACTGGCTATTCCTTATTACCTCCAGAAAAGCTGCTATTGGAAGATTAGAGAGATGTTTGTCATCCTATCATTGTTACTGATCATTTTGGAGTATCCCGTGACCATAAACCCCTCTCCTTGTAAAGTTCTTTATCAAAAAATACTAAAATGACTTCCCCTAGACTGAGTCTAAATCGTCAGTATGAGTGGCACTGTGCTTGTGTGATTGGCAGCCTCTGTACTATCTGTAGAACCTGTCTATTTCCAGTGGCTCCTCTGGGGATAGGTGCTATACAGCTATATGGATTAGTATGTATGTTTATTTTTTTATTGCCCACACCTCTCCTTTAATTATGGCTTACTTTTAACCATTCAGTCAGAACAATAATGGAGGCATTCCAAAAACTGTGCAGAATGATTCCCCAAAAAGCTATTTTCTGCTTGCGTGATTAGCTGCGGAGTCAGCATTTCATTTTCACTTATTACAACACTGAGGCTGATGATGGGATTTTAGCAGGCAAACCTTCTCACTCAGTAAAATGCCATTGCAGGAAGTAGGAAACAATTGGAATACATGTATGTATTTCAAAAGAAACAGCAGCAAGTAGAACTATGCAATGATGTTGCAATAGTCACTAAGCTCTCAGAAAAATTCCCTTGCAAAGTGAACAGCCTATTTGCCTTTTGTAAATCAACCACAGAATCACCTTAAAAGCTTGAATAGGCAGGCAGACTTTATATAACAATTTCTATGTGCACTGCTGCCTAAAACAGTTTTGCAACACAAAAAATAAATTATATGTTTTCCTCTAATCATATAAATCATGGAATTGGCATCCAAAATAAGTCTGGCAGGTTCCCTAGAAAGCTTGTTCCACATCTAGAAAGTAAACATTGATACAGAATGATGGGAAGCATTAGGTTGGCTAAAGTTGTGTGTGATACTGCCTGAGCAAAATAACCTTTGTTCATCCTTGAATTATTAACAAGTTGGAAGTGTAATATAAAATTGAATCTTTAACAAATTCATTTGTTTTGCCAAGTTTCTTTAGTTAAATGTAAATTATTTATCAGGGGTTATTGGGGTGATATTAAAGCAAGATAACTAGCTAAAGTAAACCTTCATTTCCACAGATTAGTTAAAGCAACATTTTCCAAGCATTTACCCAATTATGATTAAGGGCTTAGTTACACGGTAGATCGTAAGTGCTCAGTACTGAGGGTCGTAGCTCAAGGCATTTCAGTGCTATGTTGTCCATCATGGTGTCCAGATGTCATTTTATTAGAAGTTATGGGTATTCTCGTCCACCAACAGAAACTGCATTGTACATTTTACTGGGTGCCAGCATAAATGGCATAAGTGTCAGAGACTACTGGTTCACAGTAATCTAATGCTAAAGTAGTCTGGTACATGCAGTTCTATAATAATCATGTTGCACTATAAACAAGATCTCAAAACAGCAATTTGCCTGCCTTCTACAGTGGTGCCCATAGCAGAAAAAGAAAAGAAAGAGAAGGATAGCGGAGGGCAGACATGACTAGGTGAAGAGGGGAAATAAGGACAGGAAGGGGTTAAGTTAAAGGGGATGGTTTAAAATAGGAAGGTTACCTGATTGGTGATGGTAGCACGGGTGGGATCTTTGATGATTTTGGGGAGTGTTGGGGGGTCAGATGATCCAGTGCTTGTATAGCAGATTAAGAGGAAACTTCCCTCCCGCCCTGTCCTGGGGTGTTTTGGGTCTTTCTGTGCATGTTTTTGTTTCATTTTGGGGAAAGTTGTTGGTCTTTGGAGGCAGAAAATTGTTTAAGCGAAAGTGTATGGTTGGTACCTATCTGTGGTATGGTGTGCCCGGGTGCATTCTGGTTAACCAAGGTTTAACTGGAAGATGGAGGTTCTATACTGCAGAAGGTGTGTTTTTGTCTCTACAGGGGGATATCAATATTGTTTGGTGCCTTCGTAGTCCAACAACTTTTCCTGTAAGTTTCTGTATGTTTCTGTTTTAAGGAATGTTTTTGTGATTTAAGTTGAATGTTAATAAAAGGCCGTGAAGGCCATTTTACTCCAACGGTGTTTGGTCTCCTTTATTGGTAGAGGAGGAGTTGGGGGGAAGGGGTTTTCGAGAGAGTCAGGTTGGTATGGTTTTAGTTGCTTTAGTCTTAGCCAACACATCTCTTCTACACTAGGCATGTGGATCTTCCATGTCCTGTTTTGAGAATCACCATATTGCTCTTACGGTGATAACCTTCTCAGTACAAAAGCACTTCCTCTTGTAGCCTATCTCAGGGACCTCCCTACTAAGGGCTCGTTCACACTTGACTGTTTTACCAACTCTTGCAAAACGCCCCCTATAGCTTTTGGCAAGCGTTCGTCCGGCATTTGCGAAGCGTTTTTTAACGCTCGACAAATGCTCAGAAAACGTTGCATTTGCAGTTCAGCAGAGGTTGCTTGGCGTTTGCCGAATGTTAAAAATGCCCTACAAATGCTTATAATGAAGTTTGAATGGTGTTACCACTCTGCAAACGCCCCACAACCGCGTCGCAACCGCATCGCAAACGCCGGCTGGGCATTTGCGGAGCGGCACCATAGACTAGAATAGGAGGCTTCAGCACCTCCTGACTCGACCAGAGGCATTTTCCGCGATGCAACGCTAACACTCTCGTTAGAACAGCACCATGTGTTGCAATGTGCAGAATTGTCTGAAGCGTTTGGGAAGCAGTAAAAACGCTTCCCAAGCGCCTTTCTGCCGCCTGCACACAACGCTAGTGTGAATGTAGCCTAAGAGATGTGACCCAATTAAGGTGCAGAGTCTGTCCTCCCACTAGAGTGCTTGTCCTTGTTATCCCATCATACCTGAAAGTATATATGCTGCAGCCATATAGCTTGGAGTGTGTTGGATAGCATGTGGTTTCTCCCCCCGGCCACTTTGCCAATAGAAACCATTGCATATGGCTGGAGGAACCACAATGCCCTGTGGGGAACATGCTGTCCAACACACGGCATGCTACAGTATATGCTTGCAGGTCAGGTATGGAGGAGCAACAATCAGTGGTGCAATTATAGTCTTGGGAGCCCCACTAGAGAGATGGATGTCTCAAAACCAAGAAAAAAATTATTTAGATGCACAGGATCATACTTTTAAAAAATGATGTTGATAGTTACAGCTCTCATTTGTATCCCCTTGTCTTTGAGTAGGTTTATTGCCTTCAGAATTTTGATACGAAACTTGCCTAACACAGTATTTCTGAGTCTTCTGACACAGTGGGGGAGATTTACTAAAACGGATGATGTGAGAAATTCGGTGCAGCTCTGCATAGAAACCGATCAGCTTCCAGGTTTTATTACCAAAGCTTTATTGAACAAGCTGAAGTTAGAAGCTGATTGGCTACCATGCACAGCTGCACCAGATTGTGAGTGCTCCAGTTTTAGTAAATCTCCCCCAGAAAGTCTTCTCATCTAAAATGTGTTAAAATGTTACTGAACCCACAACAGTAAAATCAGCTTGTATAAGCAGTAAAGCACACTTGTTATACTCACTGTGGAACCTAAGGGGTTCAATCTCGGCATTGTGTAAAAACGCTGTTTGATCATGTCTTTTCTGATCCTCCCCTTCTTCCAGTGCCCCCTCTTATCTCCTTATATGACATATCATGTGGAGTCACTCTGCATATGCTCAGTTTGGTGAGTATTGCTAGAGAGGTTTTTTTTTTCTTGGGAGAATGCATGTGATCAGTACAGGGCCAAGCAGCACTGTCCAGACAGAGGTCAGGGGTTCTGCATCCTCCTAGTGCAGAATAAAAACTCCTCCTACAAGCTTTAACATGTGCTCAGCTGGACACTGATGGATGTCACAAGACTATTCTAACTGCTGATGAGAAAAGGTATTTAGAAGCTTATATTTACAAAAATAATTGCATTTACATGTTTTGTGTACTGTGGGAGACCAGATATAGTGAATGCAGGGTCCTGGGTTTAGTAACACTTTAAATATCATGCCTGGGGTGTCCCCTTAAACTACCTGCAAAGTTAACATCTGTACAATGTGTAGAACCTACTACAGCAGGACTGACTTTTTTTATTATAATTTTTATTTAAAAAAAAAAAAAACAACAGTGTGCCCCCCCTCCCCCCATCCTTCCCCTTTAGGTCTGGTAGGAAGGTTAGGAGGGACCACACAGTAAAACATTTTTAAAAAAGTGCATGAAGTTCCCCTGAAAAGCCATACCAGGCCAGGTAGGACTTTTAAGGGGAACCCCACCCCCCCAAACATGGGGGGGAAAGCGTGGGATCAACCCTAAATTCCTACCAGACCCTTTATCCGAACACAGGGCTGGCAGGCCAGGATGAGGAGGGGCAAATGAGTGCCCCCCCTCCCTGCAGCTTACCAGGCCACATGCCCTCAGTGCTGGGATGGTGCCCTCATGCCGATGGGATAAGGGCCTCCCTCCCCACAACCCTGGCCTGGTGGTTGTGGGGGTCTGCGGGCAGGGGTGCTCAATAGCTTTTGGTTACCCCTTTAACCACTTCCCAACCGGCCGTTGTATATAAACGGCCGGACGGTGGCACTGCAGGGTCGGATCGCCATTTATAAACGTCCTCCCCGCACCCTGCTTGTGCGTGCTCCCTGAGAGCGTGCAGCACCGCGGTCCGGTGCCTGCTGTGTCCTCCGGACACAGTGAAACACCGATCGTCGGACGGGACCTCTGTACGAGTTCCCAATCATGTGATCACTGATCACTGATCACTGAAAAATGGTAAAAAATTAATTTGGGTACAGTGTTGTATGACCGCGCAATTGTCATTCAAAATGTGATAGCACTGAAAGCTGAAAATTGCCCTGGTCAGGAAGGGGGTCAAAGTGTCCGGTCTGGAAGTGGTTAAATAAGGGGGCACCCTGATGCTGCCTCCCCCCTGTGAATGAGTAAGGGGTACTTATTGAACAAAAAACAAAACAAAAGTTTTTAACAAATCCTTTATTAAAAAAAAAAGAAACCAAAAAAAAAAAAAATGGTTCCATCATTGTAATCCATCGTCAATCATGGCGCACAGCATTGTCACGGCAACACCGACTTGCCAAAATGAAAAAAAAAAGATGCCTGCCAATGTGCTGAGCACTCGCCGCAATCTGACATTTTAGTTAGATGTAAACAATTGGGTAGAGCTAGCAGTGATGTCACTGCTAGCGCCGCTCAGCTGTGCTGTGGTTGCCCAAAGCATTGCACCTGACATGTGGTCAGGTGCATTGCTTTGACCAATCACAATACACTGTGAAAGCACAGTGCATTGTGGGTGCGGCGGGTGAACAACCCACCAGACACCCTTACCAATCATGTTTCCACCAAACACATGAACGGCCAATGTCAAACTGATGTTCGACTCGAAGCTTCAGACCATCACTACCTAGTGTGGTCAGTTTTTAATTGGAAAGCAGAAGGACTGGCAGGAACACCAAGGATTTCACAAAAAAAAAAGAAAGCAATACAAAAGAGAAAAGAATAATTTTTCATACAAGTACATGGTACAGGAAGCATAGATCAAGAATATGAAATGTTGGGTCTACTTACTCTTTAAATTGTGTTTTAGGTCCCGTTGGTTACAAAACCCAAACTGCTCTGTAAAATCCTGATACATCATTCTTTTGTTTAACATTTAGACTCTTATCCCTAGACTGGTGCACTTTTCCCTTCCCCTCCCCTCTTCCCCTTCCTCCTCCCCATCACTACTTACACTCCTTTCTCTCACCCCCCCCCCCCCCATCCACATTGTAACCTGCTCACCATAACACATTTCAGATCTAGCATAATATACCTCTCATGACTATGCATTACAACTATATACAATCCCCAGCCAATTGGTGGGGATTCAACAACAAAACAATATGTATTGTTAATCCTACTATGAACCGTATTGAATTACTCTGTTATGCCAAAATCCTTGAACTAAATTGTGTTTTAATATATCTTTCTCAAGTTCTAATTTAAGTGACAGTCTGATCATCATCATCTCTTTATACACATAATGATGTCACTGATGCATCCTGGGTTGGCCATTATCCAGTATAGTCCGGTGCTGTTGATCTTTCTGACACTCTCTGTTAGATTTCTGCAATGCTAAAAGACAAATGATTCTCAGATCAAACATTTTTATTCCGGTGAAAACTCCTTAAGACAAAAATGTTTTATTATACTGTTGAAGGCAAGAAAATAGTATAAAAACAGGCCCCGAGGTTCCGGACTGCAGGAATTCAATCTGTCAGTTGCTGAACAGATTTCAAGAAACATATTTCAGTGAATATGATGTCAAGTTTAACAATGGTAAAATTTACTCATTTTGCAAAATATCTCCGAAGTTTGATCTGCATTTCAATTGGGAAAAATGGGTGTGTAAAGCCAGAAAAAAGTCTCTTCAATTTAAAGGAGTTCAAGAAAAAGTCTGAATAGCATAATACAGTTTTGTGCTACCACAAATGTTTTCCTGTTAGTTATGCCTACTGATATAAAATGATTTATATATGCAATTATGGAGATGTGTTCATTTTTTGCATCTAATGAAAACATTCTTTAGAATGTTTCTAGCCTGCTTGCTTTCCCTCAGCTGTGCTTCCAGCAGGTAATGAAGTAGTCCATCTGACAACCATGCATTCCATATATCTGATGCACACTATTACTTTATATTGAAAATATAATACAATGTAAAGCTTAAGATTTAGGGGTCCTGGTGCAAATCTTGGCCAGAGCCCCTAAATTATTTATTTCACCTTTCCCAAGATTCATACTTCTCCCCCCCATTACTGACAACACTTGCACACTACCACAGTACTAGGCTTGAGAATAGGGTTGCCACCTCATCCCTTCAAAACCAAACATATATTAATTACACAGGTTCTGTGGCTGATTAAGGTGGTAATTAAACTTGCTTAGTGCCTTATCTGCAATAAATTAGCCTCAGAACCTGTGTACTTAACCACTTGCCATCCGCCTACTGTTTTTAAACGGCAGGACGGTGGCAATCCAGGGGCGGGTTGCCGTTCATAAATGGCACCCACTATTTCTAGTTTGGCAGCGCAGCACCGCGATCCAGTGCCTGCTGTGTCCTCCGGACACAGTGATTGGGGACCAATCAGTGATCACATGCAAAGTAGTAAGCAAGATGTCACTTGGGACATCATTGCTTACTACCTGTGAAATCTGTGAATGATCACAGAGGTCACATGGTACAAGGCTATTCACAACAGCCTTGTACCATGTGACAAGCTGTGACCAATCACAGCTCACACAGTATTTCTCAATGGCTGCAAAAATGCAGACGGAGAGAAAGAGAAATGATTGCTTTTACATACTATATGGGTGTAAAAGCAATCACTGTAAAAAAAAAAAAAAAAATCTTCATCACCCCCCACAAGTAGTACAGTGTCACCATGGTGACACTGTACTGCTAGGGTGACGGTATGTAAAAAAAAAAATAATAATAATAATATAAAAAAATAAAAATGTAAAAAAAAATGTTTAAAAATTATAATTTTTGGTTATAAACTAATTTGGCGTATTTTTTTTTTTTTTACTAAAAAGATAACGGCCAAGATTTATGATGAAATATTATTTATTTGCAAAATTTTATAAGAAAAACACTTTTTTTCAACATTTTTGGACTTTTTAATTTACATAGCAAAAAAAAATAAAAATCTCAGCAGTGAATAATTAAATACCACTAAAATAAAGCTTTATCTGTCTCAAAAAAATGGTAAAAAATTCATATGGGTACAGTGTTGCATGACCGCGCAATTGTCATTCAAAGTGTGATAGCGCTGAAAGCTGAAAATTGCCCTGGACAGGAAGGGGGTAAAAGTGTCTGGACAGGAAGTGGTTAATATGTGTTCAGTTTTAAAAGGGATAAGGTGGCAACCCTACTTGAGAATAGTATGCCATTTAAACTTACAGGTTACATGATCAAGCTTATGGGACACATTGGGCAGCATTGGCTCACCAGTAACAATGCAGATTCCTTCTCAGTCTTGGGGTATCAATCTCTTGCACCTCTCATAATTGCGGGTTTAAACAATTTAGCTGTCACACATCCGACACCAGGTTTTACCTCCTGTCCGAGTTGCTTGGGTTTCTGCCTATCCACCATGAACCTAGGTATTATCAAACCTTTGCACCTGTGTGTTAGTGTTTGAGCATCGTGCCTTCATGTAGAAGCCAGACCCCCTGGTTACTTTGGCTTTCACGGCTGTTTGAGTATTCTCAAATGTACTTTGTGTGTGTTTTGAGCCTTTCTTTGTTCTCAGTGTTTTCACAGGGGTGTATTTACCACAAGGCAAACAAGACATTTGCCTAGGGCAGCATTTTTAGGGGGGGCAGCACAGCCCCTCGGAAAAAGGGATGGAAGAAAGGACACACACGGCATGGCTAACCTGGTGAGTTCCAAAAGAAGCTGCGGGTTCCATGACGTTGTATGCACAGCCCGACTCTCGTTTCTGGGGCTGTCCGGAGCTGTGAAGGTGACTTTCTCTCTCTTGCCATGAGGGATGGTGGCTGGTGTATGGGGGGCAGTGGTAGTGGAAGGCTGTTTTGGGTGGGGCAGGGGTGTTCTTGGTCAATGTCAGGCTCTCTGGGTGGGGGGCCCCCAATTTTTGTGTTGCCTAGGGCAGCACAAAACCTAAATACACCACTGTGTTTTCCCTCTGGCTGTGCAGTTGTATTCCCTTTGCTCTTTGTCCATGGTTTCCTTCCTTTCTTGTTGCTGTGTGTGTCCTTCTCAGTGTTTTGTCTTGTTTGTTTCCCCTGCAGTCCCTTCATAGCTTGCTGCAGTTGGGTACTTTGGTTCCTTGTATTCTGTGTGTACCCCATGCCCTTGCTGCATGCTATTTGGTTGCCCTGTGCCTGCATGGGTGTGTTAGAGAGCCACAACCTGGGGGGTGCCACGCAGTGAAACATCCACACCTCCAGTGGCTCTGGTGAAGACCAGGTGGCTCCTTAGATCCTGAGACTCTGACACACTACCATTTGCATGAGGTCACACTGCTCCTGTACCTGCGAGGATTGGTACCTGGGTGTACCTGTTTAGCTGTTTACACTGGCCCACTAAATCTTGAGTTGCAGTCCCAGGTGGTCTTGCCCTCTGATTGTGATGCTAGCAGAGAATATTAACACGGATTGCCCTGGGCTGCCCTTGAAGTAGACTTCCAGTTGTAACTGGTGTGACCTTGGGCCCTACACCACTGTTGGTAAAAAAGCAACAGGCCAAGCAGCAAAAAAAGGGAAAGCACTTACATACTTAATATCAGCTATAATAAACATTGTGCAAACATTATATTCTATATATCCATTCTTAGTAATATGTATATAAAGGCATTTTTTTCTTCTCCTGCAGGAACTTTCATCAAGGTAAAGAATATTTCATATAATGCCATCATCAGTGGCATTATATATATATATATATATATATATATATATATAATATATATATATATAAAAATTTTCATATTACATCCATATGATACTTGTTATGCAAACCTAGTGATATCCTGAACCAGTGTTATATGCTTTTTTTTGCTATAAGCAAACATTTAACTGAATTAGATCGAATTCATTCAGGCTTTTTTGTTGTGATTAGCTGTGATTGGCCACGGCTAATCCCATGACGCGGATGGGCTGTGATTGGCCCAGTCTGTACATGTGATCACTGTGACTAATCACAGCTAGTGACACAATTGTATACAATGGATGGTATGAAAGGAAGCCATCCATTGTTTACAATTGTCATGTGATCTGCTATGGTTGGTCACAGCAGGTCACATGGTACTGGCACCGGGCCGGTACACAGATCTGTCATCGGCTGTGTCCGAGGTACACAGCCAGTGACAGATCTCGCCACAGTGTGGTCCCTTCCGGAAAGGACATCATATGACGCCCACCCGGATTCAACGAGAGTCCTGCTCCGCCATCATTTTACTATTGTCTGATGGGAAACAGGTTAAAATAGCTTATTGATGTAATTTATTTATTTTTACTCAGTATTCCTTGTGCTGTTTTTTTAATTTTCAACAATATAGGGTCTGGGATTAAAAATACCATTTCAGTCTTTGCAGATGACACCAAGCTGTGCAGAGGAATAATGTCCTTACAGGATGTCTTCAACTTACAAGCCGACCTCAATGCACTGTTTAATTGGGCAAATTTGTGGCAAATGAGGTTTAATGTTGATAAAAATGTAAGGTTATGCACTTGGGGGCTAAGAATATGCATGCATCATACATACTAGGGGGGGTACAACTGGGGGAATCAATGGTGGAGAAGGATCTGGGAGTTCTGGTAGATCACAAACTTAATAATGGCATGCAATGCCAAGCTGCGGTTTCTAAAGCGAGCAAAATCCTCTCTTGTATTAAAAGAAAACATTGGGGAACTGGAGAAAGTACAGAGAAATGCAACCAAACTGATAGGAGGCATGGAGGAGAACAGCTATGAGGAAAGATTAGAGGAACTGTATTTATTCTCTCTTGAGACGAGGAGATTAAGACGGGATATGATCAACATGTATAAATATATCAGTGGTTCATGTAATGAACTCGGTGAAGAGCTATTCACCCTTAAGTCATCACAGAGGACAAGGGGGCACTCTTTACATCTGGAGGAAAAAAAATGTAATCTCCAAACACGGAAAGGTTTCTTCACAGTGAAAGCTGTGAAAATGTGGAATAGACAAGAGTTGGCTCTGGCCAGCTCAATGGATTGCTTTAAAAAAGGTCTGCATTCTTTCTTAGATACACAGAATATAACTGGATACTAACATTTATAGGTAAAGTTGATTCAGGGAATATCCGATTGCCTCTTAGGGGGATCAGGAAGGAATTTGTTCCCCTGCAGGAGCAAATTGGTTCATGCTTTGCTGGGTTTTTGCCTTCCTCTGGATTAATTGTGGGTATAGAATTATAAACTTTTTTTTTGGTTGAACTGGATGGACTTTTGTCTTTTTTCAGCCAGACTAACTATGTAACTATGTGACCAGCGAAAGAGGAATAGAAGCTCCTCCTGCTTATGTTTCCCTGCAGACAGGCTGGGAAAGAGCTGGGTCATGTGACAACTGTAAATTTATTAGGAAAAATGTACTTTTTTTTAAAATTAAATAATTACAGTGCCATCATCCATAAACAGAAACAAAAGGGATAATGTAAATTAAATAGTGTGTGTTTAGTATCACTCTGGGCAATTACATGTGAACACAGTTGTCCTTAGCTTCAGCAATAAAGCGTACACTAGACAGCATACCAATGCTGTATTCTATGCACACCTAATCTAGGTCCCCTTTTGTAAAAAGCCCAGATCTGTGGATATGGCACACACGCATGCGTACTCTCCTTCAGTGACTTCAGACCAAGCCAAAGAAACAGCAACAAAGTCTTTACTGAAGAAGTGTAAAGCCATACTGGAACAGTTCTCACAAAACAGCTCGCATATTTCCCTGAGATCTTTCTAAGTAGACAAACGGTTTCATACCTGAAAATAGCCAGCAAGAGAGTAAAGTAATCCTTAGCTGACAGTTAGAGTTCATAAGAGTCCGTGAGAGATACCAAGGGGACCCTCAAGTGCACCCCGGGTGGCACTGCGCTTGGGCAGAGCTTTGCCCTACATTTTGACAGTGATTCCAGGCAGAACTCTCTGGTGCATGGTAGAGCCCCTTTTTATGTGAATCTGTAGAGAATTGGTGGGGAAATATGACCAATCAGCTCCTCAGATCCATCACACATAAACATTGTAAGAATTTCACAGAAAAGACTGCAGGACATGAGTCAGCACACTTAAAAAAACATTAACCCCCTTGTTGCACTTGCTGCCTGGTCTATGACTTTTGCAAAAAACTAGTCATCCCTTTGGACTTTATTTGTAGTCTATATATGCCTATGTATGAACATACAGAACCTGTAAAGGGTATCTATTACCAAGGATTAGTATCTTTTGGAACTACAAAACAGGTTTGGGACCTACCCATGTTCTATTTGCCTCTAGACTGCTTGCTTGATAATGGGAGCATTAAGGGAGACAAGCACTACTGTCATTGGGCAACTCAGAACACCATGATGAGTGACACCCAAGACTTTCATAATTGAAAAAAACACGGCAATACCTAATGTTCCTCCCCAGTTCCTTTGCAGCATATTGTTTTCTCCAACATTACAGGTACTCTTTATTAGGAGTCTGTGAAGCACACAGATTCACACAGGCCATTGCACTGATACACAAACATCCCCACACACCTCATCACATACTCTGACAATGTTCCTCTGACACCAGCTAGGTACAAATGTTTGTTTCTGCCATGCTCCAAAAAAAAGCTGTGTGTTGCAAGAAAATCGATTCCCCTCTGAGGCACGCTTGGCCTAGCTACAAGAACTGGACTGTCTACAGTAAGAAGAAAAGCTATTTTTCAAGTGAAGAAATTCACACAATAAGTACAGGCTAGCACCATAAGTAAGACAATGTGAAGGACTGGATGTTATTTAAAAAAAAACCTACTGTATTTTAATGGAATAAAGAGTTCTCTGTTCCGTGCTTTGACGTTACTTTTTGGATGTTGACATAAATTTGAGAGATGCATTGATTTTAGCAATTCAGAGACTCAATTTTTCGACAACTTGTTGTAGCACATTTATCAATAAATTATAGCTGTGATGCAATTTAAGCTCAACTCCAGGCAAAATGAGTGGGGAAGGGTTAGAGCTCCTATCAGTATTTTTAATGCCATCTACACTCACCAGCCTCTTTATTCGGTACACCTTTTCTAGTGCCAATAAAATCTCCCCCACACCATTACACTACCACCACCAGCCTGAACTGTTGATACAAGGCAGGATGGATCCATGCTTTCATGTTGTTTACGCCAAATTTTGACCCTACCATATGAATGTTGCAGCAACCAGTCTGCCCATTCTCCTCTGACCTCTGACATCAGCAAGGCATTTTCATCAATGCAACTGCCGCTCACTGGTTATTTTTGCTTTTTCAGACCATTCTGTGTAAACCCTAGAGATAGTTGTGCGTGGAAATCCCAGTAGATCTTCAGTTTTTGAAATACTCAGACCAGCCTGCCTGGCACCAACATTCATGCCATATTCAAAGTCACTTAAATCCCCTTTCTTCCCCCATTCTGATGCTCAGTTTGAACTTCAGCAAGTCATCTTCACCACATCTAGATGCCTGAATGCATTGAGTTGCTGCCATGTGCTTGGCTGATTAGCAATTTGTGTTACGAAGCCATTGAACAGGTGTACCTAATAAAAAAAATCAAAGTAAACAAAAAAAAGCAAAAAAATACTGGTAGTGACAGTAAAACAGTATTGAAAAGAAAGATGTCTGTGAGCCGTAGTTTGCTGCAAGCCCTGTAAGGAGAGTGTATAGCAGTCTCTAACCAGGATCTAACCAGGCCAACACGTTTCACTCTGCCCCAGAGGTTAATCATGATTACACTCTATTTTGTATCTACTCACAATTAGAGTGTTTAGTTTATGTAGTGGATTTACACTTGTTTGTACAGAGTTTGGATCCACACAGAATTATAAATTACGCTTCACATTATCTGGGCACACTGAGCAGCAGCACACAGCAACGGTGACTACAGATTCAGCCAGCTCATCCACACACTCACCCCTTCTTCCCAGTTTGATCCTCCTTGTCACCTTTACCCCTTTGCCTGTGCCTGCAAACAAATCCCTCCTGACATGAAACACCGCCAGCTTCTTCCCCACATTGGTTCAGCTTACATCCCTCCCTGCAGGATTTCCAAGGTTGAGCAATGTGCTTCCATACTGCCTGCATGTAGTGTCAGCTATGATAGCTATAGCAGGCAGTAGACAGAAGCCTCGGAGTTCTTTTACAGACAGCACTGGGGATGGGCTGAGGATCTGAAAGAATGAGGATTAGAAACATAAGAGTATGCAGAGCCAAAGTGCCAGAGACTGCTGGGGGAGGTAGAAAGTAAAAACAACACATGTAAATGCCGCTGAGAGGTGACAATGAGCACTGTAACATAAAATACAATATCAGAAAACATCAATTAAAAGTCCATAGAATGAGCACTATATTGTGGCAGCTCCTCATAGAGTGAAGCAAGACTCTGTAAAAAATGAGAAAGGGAACAGAAGGGGGCGCCAGCCTAAGTGCAGTAAAAAAACACATTTATTAAAATTAGCCAAATCACTACTCCATGATCCCTGAAGAAGCCCAAGATCATTGCGCGAAATATGCAAGAGTGTTTGTCACCACGTCATTGACATAGCTGACGTCATCACGGAGACAGCTGTGCCAGTCAGCATACCATGCACCACGGTCTGAGGAGCCTCAATCATCCAGTGCAATTGCTGGTTGCATGTTGCTATGCTTCCCTGTGACTCCTCTCAGAACAAGAGGTCTAAGTGATTGCCTCAATGTGGAGAGGAGATAAGACGATCTGCCCCGGATAGATTGATGGTCATCATGAATGCTCTGAGATGGGATGGGTGAGCCCTAATTTATGACACACACATCCTTATCATCACATCATATGGCCACCTATATCTTTCCCCACGGTGAAGTCACTACTGGAGGGAAGAGCAGCCCTATCTTTATGATGGCTCACTTGTTATCTTGACATTCATCACACTGAAGTGTGCTTAAGAACTTTCACACATACCCAGTGTGTGGTCCCTTACTCTCTTTACATATACATGTCCACATTTGGACCCAGTACTACTGACACAGAACTCATACCTCCGGATAGCTGAAACCACATTCCTGATATGGATATTGCTCTATAGTGGTGAATATCCATGGACTCTAGCCTCCCTCACTTATCACCATT